TCGGGCAACGAGGAAAAACGTCCCACTTCGTTTAAGGCTAAGGTACAGGCCGACACACGACAAAAATGGCACGGCATCGCGCGGTAGACGTTGACGATCTATAGTGCCCGACGTGGACGGCTATACCGAGCACCACCGTCGTCGTACCCATGAGGCAGAACACCCAGCTCGCGATGGGCAGTTCACGCCAAGGGCAAATCGTCCCTACGGGCTCCACGCCCGACTGAGCAACCTCGCTCCGAAATACCCGACATTCCATCAAGAATAACGGGACATCTACAAGGGTCAAAACAAATTCTCTCCTATCGAGCGAAACACTCAAGCAACCCCGGCCAACCGAAATTGGGTCGAGGTTGCGCACAAACGGAGTCGAGCATAGTCGCTCGCCAAATCAAAGCTGCCTACGGGCACTCATCGGGCCCGGGACGAGCTAAATTCATACAAGCATGTCAGTTCATACAAGGGCAGAAAACAATAAACAAGGTATAAACACCCGTAGGCAACAAAGTAATATTAAACCGACCAAGAAGGCCGGCGATGTTCATACATGAAATAAACGGGCACGCAGGCCCAAAGAATACAAATTCAAATATCAGGCACGCAGGCCCACCAACCAAAAAATACAAATCAAACTTCCGTGTTATCACCACTGTCGACGCAGGGAGAGTCGGGCGGGGGAATGATCGCGCCACCGACAACCCGATGAGTGTGCCCGATACCCTCGGTGACCAAGCCGGGATTTAGCAACGAGAGCTGGTCGACGGCAGAATTGAACCCGTCTTCCAGGGCACCGACTGCGTCCTCCTCGAGGTTCCGAATATGAGCAATAAACTCAGCCCGACTCTTCAAAGCCGTTAGGTCCTCGGGCTCATCTTCAGCGGGTTGTTGAGCAGCATTCAGTTCCTCGACCTGCTTGCCCAGGCGTTCGACTTCAGCAGCCAAACGATCCCTATCAGCCCGGAGCAACTCCCCTTCCTCGGTCAACCGCCCCGACTTCTCTTTCTCCAAGGTCAGCGCCTCCCTCTCGGCGTCAAGTATCACGGTCTGCTCTTGGAACATCCCCTCGGAGCGTTCCAGAGCGACCTTCAACTTCCTTGAGCTCGCCGTCAGGGCTGCCTTCTCCCGCTCGAGCTCTTCAACACGAGCAGCGTCCCCTGCGTCTTCAGACAATACCAGAGCCATTTCAGCCATTTTAACCAGCCCATCCACGCTGGCGACCAGCCGCGACCGCCTCTCCTCTTTGGTCATCCTTTTTATGGCCTCGGCTTCATGCGCGACCACGGTCGGGGGAAACCGCTCGAAAAAACCCTCCTCCTCGATGCAGGGGGGAAAGGCAAAGGATTGAACGGGACCGGTATCTTCCCCGACAGTTGGACCGCCTTCCACGCGGGTCCTCTTCCTTTGTGTCAGAACGGCTTCGGCATCAATGACTTCGACATCTGGATCTGACGCCGCCCCCGAGCTCGAGGTCGAATCCACCCTCACAGGCTGAGAAGCGTTCAGATTTGTCGGTGGACCCATTCTCGTCATCTGAGGGCCCGGCACGACCTTCTTGTTTCGCCTGTGGCCGGTCGACAGTTTCAGGAGCCTTTCATGTCGGCTGGCCATCGTACCTGCACGAAGTAAAAGAAAAGTCAGTATCGAGCAAAACGCGTAAATAAATGACAAGTAAATTGCAAACAAACAACCTAACAGGCGGGCTGCCTCCCTATAGGTCGAGCATTCCACCAACGCCTTGGTATCAATCGGGCGAGCCTCGAATATCGGGTAACCGTCCTTGTCGAGGATATCATTCCCCTCCCGTGTAACCCACTGGGCGGGATGAAAACCGTCGACGAAGTTACAGAGAGCCGCATACGCCCGTTGATCCTCCGTGCACATATCCCCGACCGCGGTATGAAAATAGCCTGTCCCGTGCTCGAAGTGTCGGGGCATCCAATACACCGGGAACTTAGCCCGACGTCCTAGCACGGGACTCCCGTCATCGCCCAACATTATCTCCCCGTCATCATCGCTGACCGGCGCTTCTTCCTCGAAGAGGGAATCTACAGCAGAGTCGGTGATGGGGTGCACCACGTACCACTTATCCTTGAACCCCCTCACAGAGTCCATGTACATCCTAAACAGTCTCCTCGACTGCTTCAGAGACACCCAGCTGTGCTTCCCTCCTCGGGACTGACGCTGTAGGTGGAACACACGGAAGAAGAGAGGGATGGTCGCCCCTATCCTTAAGTAGCGACACGTTAGCTCAAACGCCCGGATGAAGGCGAGAGAGTTTGGGTGTAGCTGGGACGGGGCCAGCTCCAAATGCGTAAAGACCCCGCTCTCGAAGTCTGTGAACGGCATCCGCAACCCCAGGTCTTTAAACGCGATCTCGTACATCGCAAAGCTATAATCCGGGTACATCGAGCAAATTCTGGCGGTGGTCGACGGCAACATGACCTCGAAACTAGGCTGAAAGTCGGGCTGGTCCTGCCCCTCTTCGATAGCAACGAACGGATGTCGGTCATCCCGACTGTATATCGACGCCGTCCCCCGAGGCTCGGCGCCCACCCATTCCAGCGATGGGTCGGTCACAGTGTCTATAAGGTTGGCCGACTCGTCGGCACTTTGTTCTTCGCTGTCGTGACGACCAGAGGAGCTCGGCTCATCCGCCATGGTTACCTGCAGAGCACGGGAAACCAATCAGATTGAGCATGAAGTCCTATGCTCGACATAATCATGTCGTCCATACACTACCACACAAGTCCACTTTCACAAGTGGATGCCTCCCCGACTCTCCCGAATCCAGTGTTCGTCCACAAACCAACTGCGCGGCCACTCTTCTAGCATGTCGATCCGAGGTATGAACATGGCGAGCCGCATTATGAAGCCCACGGCCACGACCATAAACATACCGGACACCGTCATGAATCGGGCGCCCAGGATCATGAAGACCCCGGGCAGCTCTGAAGTTTTTCATCTAAAACTAAGAATGTGACGGCCACAAGTACGCGTTTGCCGGCCCTAGACATGAATCTGTCGGGCAAAACACGAGTTTACCGGGCTAATCCCACATTAACGATCCTAAAACATCTACATTTTCCAAGAATCATGCATTCTAAAACAGGAAAATAAGGAAAGTGGATCACTTACTTGGATCAAAGATAGGATTCGGCTAGGAAATGAAGAATCTGAGACGGGAAGTCACGGTTGGAGAGAGTGTTGAGAGTTGCAATGAAGAGAGCACGAAGAACGGAAAACGTATTATGGGGCCCAAGGACCCTATTTATAGTGATGACATGGAATACCAAACGTCACCTCGTTTAGCCACGGACTCCGTCTCCTCGACGCACTGCACCCAACGCAATGATGGCCCTACCCCCCTAGGGTGGCGGCACAATTCCCAAAAGATGCCTCGCGTGCCCGACCAACGTGCTCGGTACGGATCCTCCACGCATCCACCACCGAGGACGTTCCCGAGCACGACACGAGGAGGCTCCTCGAGGGGCCGCGCCTCCATTCTGGGCACGAGACCTCAGCGACTGAACAAGGTTTCAAGTCATGGCTCCTCGCAAAGGAACCACGACTTGGGGGGCTCCTGTTCTGGACTGGGCCCGACAGGCCCAAAAGCATTACTAAGGCCCAGTCCAATGGGACTCGCTAAGGACCACAACGTCTATGCCCGACACCCTGATGTCCACCTCGACATCCCAGTGTACCAGCCCACGCGACGAAGTCACGCTCGACAGACTGCCGACCAGCTCTATGCCCTGGTTTCCAGCTCGACATTCGCTGTCCAGCTCGGGGTCTTGGCACCGAGCTCGACATCACGCTGCACTGCTCGACATGGACTCAAGCTACCTTGCTAGGGCAGACTCAGTCACCATTGCCCCAACGATACCCCGTAAAGACCGCGTCTCTGTCCGCCCGCACTTCACGCACCACATCCAGGGAGGGGACCACGTGCTGATCCCCACTACCCACGTAGGACCTGGCAGTTCCTCCATTGGGCCAAATCCGCCCGGCCCAGTGAAGGAACCTTGGCCCAGCGCTGGGGGCTATAAATACCCTCTGCTTCCAGAGGGTCAGGTAATGATCAATTCTAACCTCAACTCTATTATCTGCTAGTACTCCCACTGACTTAAGCATCGGAGTGCCTTGCAGGTACCCCCCCCCTCCTCGTTCAAAAAGCCTTCAGCTCGGAGCAGCCGTGACGGTCCAAACCTTCTGATCAGGTCAGATCACATATAATCAATTAAAAAATTTAATATTTGTCATGTAATATCAATATTTTAAAAATAAAAGTATATTTTAATTGAATACATGTCTTTTATTAATTGACATTGTAAAAATATTTTATGCATATTTATTTTCCTCAATAAAAAAGTATTATATTTGTAGTAAAACTTGTATTGTTTGATTTTCATCCAACGGTGGTATATAGAAATACCTGATGCATGAAATTATACTTTGGTGTTAACTGATAATGGCATTTCCGTTGGCGCCAATAGAAATAGAGAATAAAAAAAAGAACAATTATCCTCTTCGTGGTTGTTCTGTTATTTCAGTTTCTCCTCATTTCTGCGTGTTTTCTCTCTCTTTCTCTCTCTCTCTCTTTCAAACATAGAATTTCCCGACATCATCACCAACCACCTTTGCAAAACATGTTTCCTTAAAAATCATTGTTTTCACGGTTGTAGAAAGAAGCTATATACATACCATAAAGGGTTGAGGAGGTTCTTTCTTCAACCCCAGGTTTGTTTCTTCTTCAAGTTCCTTTCTTTCCTCTTTTTTCATCTTACCCATTTCGTTGCATTTTTTCCAATACAATGAATCCATTGTTAACCCATTTGTGTTTTTATCAGATTCCACAATGATTTTGGTGATCATTTTCCCCTATGAGTTGTTGTGATGTGAAAGTGCTTGTGTTTGTTCATCTGAGTTTTGCATGAAGGTTTTGATATATAACTAGCATCATGCATCAAAAGATAGCACATTTGAAGATGGGTGAAATCAAAATGGTGTCACCTATGGCGCAGACACAGGTTATGTCACCAAGGAAGAAAATGACAAAACAATTGACAGGAAAAAGGGATGATACACATTTGCATTCTGCAGCAAGAGCAGGGAATTTAGAAGTTGTGAGAGAAACCCTTCAAGGTTCTGAAGGAGATGAGTTGGTTGAATTATTGGCTAGGCAGAATCAAGATGGTGAAACGGCTCTTTATGTTGCTGCTGAATATGGTTATGTTGATGTTGTTAGGGAAATGATTCAATATTATGATCTTGCTGAGGCTGGAATTAAAGCAAGAAATGGTTTTGATGCATTTCATATTGCTGCTAAACAAGGAGATATAGGTATGTTTTTCGTCGGTTTCAAAGGGAATTAAAACCTTATAAGTTGGTTTTGTAACATTGAATTAGACTTGACTCAAACTCTAAAATGGTATCAGAGTTTATTCAAGATCCATTCAGACATGTGTTATTATCATGTTTCTGTTATTGGACCATTCAGGTCACGCGCTCTAGATGTCTAGTCCTTAGCGTGAGGACGCGAGTCTGAAGTAATATCTCATTATCGGATTCATGTTTATCTTGTGGCAGATATATTGAAGATCCTAATGGAAGTTCATCCAGAATTGTCAATGACAGTGGATCCATCAAACACAACAGCTTTGCACACAGCCGCGGCACAAGGACATATTGAAATAGTACAATTTCTATTGGAAGCAGGAAGTAGCTTAGCAACCATTGCTAAAAGTAACGGTAAAACCGCTCTTCATTCGGCCGCGAGAAATGGACATTTAGAGGTTTTAAAAGCATTTCTTGGGAAAGAGCCTAGTCTTGCAATAAGAATTGATAAAAAGGGACAAACAGCACTTCACATGGCTGTTAAGGGACAAAATCTCGAGGTAGTGGAAGAGTTGATAAAAGCCGATCCATCATCGATAAACATGGTTGATACTAAAGGAAACACAGCTTTGCATATAGCAACCAGGAAAGCCAGGACTCAGGTAAATCATATAGCTTATAGTTAGTTATACATGTTTTATGATAAGCGCGCGCTTATTTAATAAGCACTTATCAACAAGTTTATGAATTTGTTTGTACAGATTGTAAAGATGCTTTTAGGACAGAAGGAAACAGATACAAGTGCTGTTAATAGATCAGGCGAAACCGCGGTAGACACTGCTGAGAAAATAGGGAACCAAGATGTTAAAAACATTCTATCAGAACACGGTGTTCAAAGTGCGAAAACTATAAAACCACAAGGAACAGGTACAACAGCTCGCGAGTTAAAACAAACCGTAAGCGACATAAAGAACGAGGTACATTACCAACTAGAGCACACTCGACAAACACGAAAGCGCGTCCAAGGAATCGCGAAACGGATCAACAAAATGCATACGGAAGGACTCGACAATGCAATAAACTCAACAACTGTCGTTGCAGTACTAATAGCAACGGTTGCATTTGCCGCGATTTTCACTGTCCCGGGTCAATTTGTCGATGATCCGAGCAATATTCCACAAGGGATGACGCTTGGCGAAGCGAATATAGCGCCAGAAGCACCGTTTATAATATTTTTCGTGTTTGATTCAATCGCGCTCTTCATTTCCTTGGCCGTTGTGATTGTTCAAACCTCGGTCGTTGTTATAGAAAGCAAAGCCAAGAAACAAATGATGGCTATTATTAATAAGCTAATGTGGTTGGCTTGTGTGCTTATTTCTGTGGCATTTTTGGCATTGTCATTTGTTGTGGTTGGAAAAGAAGAAATGTGGTTGGCAATTTGTGTTACCATTATAGGGACAACTATAATGGCTACAACATTGGGAACTATGTGTTATTGGGTGATTAGGCATAGAATTGAGACCAAAAATTTGAGGAACATGAGGAAATCTTCATTGGAGAGCAGTGCAAAGTCATTCTCTGTGACTGCTTTATCAGATTCTGAGTTGATAAACAATGAATTTAAGAAAATGTATGCTATTTAGGAGAGTTATACTAACATTTTTTTTCTCTATTCATTTTTTTGTTCTTCTTCTATAATGTAAAGCACATAGCTTGATGGAACTATGTCCAACTAAGGTGGAATTTCATATGTATATCTCCAAGAAATGGCTATATATGTAAACAAAAACAGTGTACTAACCAAATGATAATATAGAAAATAGTCTCATTAATTCCAATAGGGGTTGTAAAATTGCTTTTTAACCTTCCAAATGCATCTCTCCCAATGTAAAAATCTTGGCTGAAATCAGGATAGGCTAAAAATCTTGTCTCAATCAATTTGATGCAGACCTCGAAACAGAGAAACAATATAGCAAGAGAATAAACACAAATTATCAGGAACGGTGTAATTATTGAATCAGAAATGGCAAATGTAGATAGAAACACACTCCTAATCCACACTAGAGTTGAGCTCCCATAGAAATACAATTTCCTGGTTAACAAACAAAAACAAATTTTTGCATAAATCTTTCACAAGGAGCCTATTTCCACACCAGCAGTGATCCTCATGATCATGACAACAGGGCGGGGGACAATTTTAACATATCCAGATCCAAACCTGAATCCCATCAATCCCCAATCTCCGACGGGATGAATAAATAAATCTCAAACCCGTCTCAAACGAATTTGGATTGTATTCGAATATTTCGTCCTCATCCCTGCCATTGAATCAATTTTTTAATAGAAATAATTTTCTTTCGAACATTGCATTACTCTAGAAATACATTTCTAAAGTAAATGATAAACTAAATAATAAAGTTCAAACCGATATCAATGAGACAAATGCAGGACAAGTTTAAAGTGGATATTAAACCGATATCAATGAGACAAGTGCAGATGTTTAGGGAAATTTTTAGACAGTTAGCCAGTCGATTTAGGAAGGTATGGCCTTTGATAAACATACAGGCACGGTCTATAATAAAATTTGAGAATTTCTCTTTTCACTATACACTAGAACTAGAAAACGATATACACCATACATCATACACAAACAGACCAAATATAGTTTTACCCTATTCAAAAAACAGCAACAAAACCCCAAGATTGAATTTGTCTGTCGCCTTGTCATTATATATATATATATATATATATATATATATATATATATATATATATATATATATATATATATATATATATATATATATATATATATATATATATATATATATATATATATCGATATTATATATAAGTAGAAATATACTTTCGATATTATAAAAAATGCATATTATAACTAGCATGATCAAAGTCATTTCTTCACCTGAACGTTGAAGTTTAATGTATATTTCAAGCCTTAATGTATTACTATGTTATGATATAAATTGTATTTAAAATTTGTGAAATTGATATTATTCAATGCTATTTTTCTGCTCTGTGTAGCACTAAATCGGAAATGTAAGTCCGGATACAAAACAGAAATTAAATTCCGATTTCAGTCTATACTTTATTAAATCTTGGTACGTCTCGGAAATGCATTTCCGGTTTTCAAGGACATTTTTGTTATTTCACGCTAGAAAACTATAGAATGGAAAAAGAAATCCTCTAAAATTTACAGACCATAGTCATTGACTGGAGTTCGTTCAGCTTCTATCACAATCTAAAAGACCAACAACACAAAAAAACAAAAGATCCCACGAGCTTTTATCACAAGATGTTGTTGGCAGAAGCACCCGTTCAATTTCATTACTGCTAAAAGAGCATTGCTCTGCGGCATTCATTTTCTGCAAAACTGATTTTGAAGACAGGCTATTATTATCAACAAGAATGACTACATCGGAATGCATAACCTGCAAGAATTGGATTATCTACGTAACACAAACGTAATCATTTCTTTTCCACAATCTGTGTATACTGATAATCAGAAAGAAAACAAACATGAGCTAATCCGTTTTGTTTCCCTTCTCAGGATCCATATTCCTCTCCACAATATATTAAAATAACTTTATTTATGGGTCAAACTACCAGACACTGCATACAATATATTTAGATATATGTGTTTGACAGAAGAGAAAGCTAGGTTAGGCTAACCTCGCACCTACTCTAAAAACGAGCTAAGAGAAACGCCAGATTAAAGTTACACTAATGTATAAATAAAATAGCCTTCCATATAACGTTTTATATCCATACATAAAAAGCTTTACACTGAAGGTTTTCTATGTGCTCCTTAATGTTGCGGTAAAGACGGTCTCTTTTCCACCATTTCATAATGAAGAACAAAATTATCCTGCAAGAAGTTTGTCCATTAGAAGCATAAATAGGACAATTATTTAAGTAAATAACATAGGATAGTGGCGCCGGAATGTTCAAGAAACTCACCCTCCGGACAGTTTCAAAAGTGCTTGGATCAAAACAGTGGTAAGATCCTCTCTCATATGTGTTTGTTTTGACAAGCGGTTCCATGTTGGGAACTCTTATATACCACATGCGATGCTCTTTGTGATAAAACCAGCCCCGTTTGTACCTGAGAGCAAAAACCTTAGCTTGTTGGTAATTTTTGTATTGATAAAAACTGACAATAATTCAAGTTAAAAGAATAACCACGTGGATGAATGGATAAAATTTTTGGAATGGTTGGTTGCTATAACCATATAGCAACTAATTAAACCACTTATAGCTACTGCTTATTTTCAAATAAAAACTCTTGCCAAGAATCCTTAGGCGTAGTTATCCGATAATAACTTGAAAACAAGACCAAATACAAATAAAACAAAACAAAAGGGTGCATATGATCATAACACGACAAGGGTGTATATGAATTGATAGAATTCATACAGTTCATTTGCTGCATATAGTTGTGCTTCGTCTTTAGGCATGCTGCAATAAAAGATGAAATTTAAATTTACTAGTACTGTTATTATAATAACATGCAAGCATAGTGAAAGTGATAGGATTGGTTTCAATAGGCACCTGTAAAATATGTAAAACAATGTATCCAAAGTAAATTTAGCAAAATACCCTTGCTGCATCACATAAAAGAATTAGCGGGAAAAAAAGAAGAAAATATATAAAGGACATTGAAAATAAATAAAGGAAAAGAAAGAACGCCTCACGTGTAGGGCAGGAGGTGGTTTAGCATAATAACATTGAAGCACACTAAACTCTGGATCACCCTTAGCTGGTTCCTCGGACCAAGGAGACCCAAAAGTCTTGTGAAGATTTTCTGATGAATTCAAATTTAATCCAAGTGTTGTAAGATCAATTCCAAGAGCAAGAGATGTCAGATCAGGATCACTCATCCTGATTACACTTAACAAGCCAAGCAAACCAAATGGATCAGGAGCTGGTTGTGCAGTTTGCATAGACTTCATGCCATGATCTCTAAAGGTCTGATTTACAGCTGACATTTGCTGAAGGCGAAACTGGGACTGGTTCTGGTGCTGTTGATACTGCTGGATGAGCTGGTCATACGAACCCGTACCAGAAACATTATTTGGAGAGTTTAGTGGCCTTAATCCAATGCCAGGAGGTCCGCTGGTCTAAACCAAAAACCAGAACTAGAACGTCAGAAACATGCTTTGATGGGAATATGGAATTTCAGCTCAATTGGAAACCTAATGTCACAAAAGTTTTAAAATAGAGATGTATTCTCACACAAAAGCAAGTGCCTCCTAATTTACATTTAGGAAAGCCGTGTACCTGTGAATGATACGTAGAGTTTGGAGACGGAAAAATTTCTGAGCCGTGCAGATGAAGATCTTGATTGTTAGATGAAAAGGAGACACCACTGTTACTGACAGAAGGAGTATGCTGCTGTTGCTGTTGAGTACGATGTGATGAATAAGATCCTCCCAAGCTGAAACCGGCAGACCTCCCCATCTGCAGAAAGAATCCAGATAAGAGTGAGATCATATTTTGGTCCAATAATACCATAAACAAGGATAAAAACACATAAAACGTATCTGAATTGTTTACTGTATGAAACTCACAGAGAAATGCTGTGACTGCATCATTGACATAGCATTGTCATGTTGTTCTTTCTGATGCATGTCCATAGTAAACTCTCCATTACCACCTGTATACAAATATTATGATAAAAACAAATGCCAAGCCAACTGACTAACCTCTGTAAATTAGATTTCTCAGTTCTGCGAACGAAGTTGACCGAAAATAATAAAAATGTCATCAGATACAGACTACTGGGATGTCACTTCCAACAAGTCATGAAATGTTCAACAGTGCAAACATCATAAATCTTTCACTCCTCTTCAGCAATAGGAACCATAAGAGCATCTTTGCTAAATGTATGACATGTCACACAGATATATACAAAACACTAATGCAAGGAACTGTAATAATTCCTGTCAAGAATGAAAAGCAAATGGAGACAAAACATCGATGCATTCTGCACAGCATTATGAAGCTAAAAAACATATAAACCCCCAGGGAGTATAAATTTCACTCTAAAGTATATAACCCCCCAAAACAAGAAAATAACACAACTGAGCAACATAAATTTTCCAACAAAATATGTAACCAACTAGCACACAAAGATCAGTCAAATTATAAATGGTACCTTTATATCCTGGTAAAGCCGGGAAGTCTTCATTTTGAATGCTAAACTCTTGGTTTTGTTGTACAATAGGACTAAGACCTTGTTTTCGTAAAGAGCCTGAAATTTATATATTACATTATTCTTTATTGTAAATGGTAAATAATATAATAAGCTAAATAAAATTTTACATTACACACCCAACTGTCCTTGAGGCCCCCCAGCAGAACTAGGACGACTTGATAGTTGAGGGAAGTCATTGAGGTCAAAGGGCGCACTGTCACTGGAATTCAAATCATTCAACATCCCCATAGAGTTCAAGTGATGTACTGCTTGAATATGGCTTTGAGAAAGTGGACCTCCAGCACTTGGATAAGAATTTCCTAGCATTGAAATTACCTGAGGAGATCCTGAATCAAAACATGACATGGTCTGGCTTTATCAGAAAGAAGTACAACATAGTTTCATCAGATTCAAAAATGAATGTCTAGGCCCTCTTAACATGTTATACAATGCAATAGCGTACGTAGTAAGAAAATTGTATCCGAGATAATAAAGTTGGTAAGATATGAAAAGCTCATCCGTGAAAAAAAGTACAGAATAGTTGGTAAGAAAAAAAGCTCATCCGTGCAGTTTGAAAGAAATCTCAACTGAACATATGAAGATAACCTCAATATAATTGGTTATTTCTTAGGAGAAATTGTAACCAAGATAATTAAGCTAGTAAGATTTGAAAAGTTCATCCGTGAAAAAAAAGTGCAGTGTAGTATAGTACTATATTTCCCGGGATAAATATAATTTTATATTCAAAAATTTATATAAACAAAATAATGTACCACTTTAATATCATATTCTAACTCTTCTCAAAGAGATCTCAACTGAAAATATGAAGATAACCTCAACTCAATATAATTGGATATTTCTTAGGGGAAATATTATTTCCGCGTCATTTTAATGAACCTGTTGTGACTTCCAAAATACATACCTTGAGGAAGCACGCCACTCATCAATCGATTTTGTCCTTGCACGCCTAAGCCACCAGATCCGCTGCTTCCATTTAAATTTAGACGTGAAGCAAGACCAGGAATGGACAATCCTCCAGAGCTTAACCTCCCAATGTTTCCCCCAGCAACCATGTTTCCCATCGAACTTGTTATCCTAGGACCTGCATTTCCCAAAATTGGGGATACTCCCAATCCTGGAACAGCATTACGATTACCATTTGCAGCAGAAGTTGGAAGAATCCCTGGAATAGAACCAGCAACTCCATTTGTGCTATTATTAAATCCAGGATTTCCTATAACACTTATACCTCCTCTACTGTTGACTCCTGAATGTCCGTGAGAGCTTCCATGAGATAGCTGCAAATACAAAGTATAGACATTTGGAAATACTTTAAACTATACACAAGTAGAAAGATAATAAAAGACAGAACAGTTAAGTATTCTCAATAGCTCAGCAATTATTCTCGAGATGTTCAAACACAGACACTCATATGTACCTGTGACAGAGCGGAAGGCAAATTATTGGATGAAAATCTTCCACTGGAAAGACTTGATGTAGGTTGCTGAACTGCTCCAGATGGCATGCTGTTTATTGTTGAGTTTCTTGATGTAAGTGTACTAGGCATGTTAGGAATGTTAAAGCTCCCGTGCATGTTGTGCAACCCCTGAATACCACCTGCAGCAAAAAGGTAGTGATTATGAAACTAAATAAAGGAGAGGATAAAAAGGATTGATTCCAGCACAATATTCCCACCAGTATGCTGATAAATTGGCGAGGCTGCACCAGACTGACTAGAGAATGATGTAGTAAAAGAACGCCCAGCACCGTCTGGAAGATTTGAAGCAGATCCGTTCAGAGAAGACTGCAAACAGAGCTCTGTTATAATTTACATCCATAGTGAATGAAAGGCCAAAAAAATAAATCAATATCTGACAAAAACAATAAGAAGAATGATAATAGTAATAATAATAATAACAACAACAATAATAGTAATAATAATATGATAATGATTATAAACAATTAAAATAAAATAAAAAACATATGTTGCATTGATTCTATGTTATAGATCCAATATGCATAAGGCATGATATATAGAAATAGATAGAAATTATACTTGAAAGTTGAAATAAGTAATTTTTAGGACAATCCTAAAAAACTGATTAAGAATTATAGACTCTTCTTAATAGAATTCATTGTTGGGTAGGATTTTATACTTAATTTGGATTTGTTTAAGATTTTATTTTCAGTAACTATGGATAACAACTACCTTACAAGGATGACTAATGTCATTTATATTTTTGCGATAAATTATAATACTGATATTTCCTGTCCATATAGTCAAAAATCAAATTAAGAGGAAATCAAAGTAAGAGGAGTACCCCACAAAGTACCCTAGATTTATTGTTCTATTCAAAGGGATATTCTATACCACAAAGACGTAATAAGGTTTATCATTCTACATCATTCATGTTCCTCTCTCACTACATAAGCTGATACTTCAATTGGTTTCTAATATATCAAAACGTTGGCAAAAAATTCTAATAACTAGTAAACATCAAAGAATGTCGCATGCAATACACAAGAATGAACAAAAAAAAAATGATACATCAAATACGAATGATCAGAACTCAGAAGAAACAGGGTAACTAAGCTAGAATGTTACGACAATATCTAAATAAGCTTGAATATCAAACTAAAAACTGGAGATGAAGTCATAAAAATCCTATAGTAAGATCCATTCACTTGATGATCTAACATTATTAAACAAAGTGTTGAATGAAATTGACAAAAATTCTAACTTCTAAATCATATTGCAGATAACGGATGAAAATTGTATACTACTTGGTCTACAAGGAATAAGGGAATACATTAAGTAAGCCGGACATTGCACGAATTTCAACAGATCAGGCAACAATTCATCCCCGCGACAAGACCAGTGTGTAGAATCCTTTCCTTGAAACCAATCACCAACCTGAATACGATAACATATCGAAAAACCAGCATCAGATGCAACACAATTTTCATTAGTAAACCATCAAAACAGTAACAAAACAACCACAATACTTCACACTTGCGATCGCGAGAGGAAGATCACGCAAAAGATGAAACGGATCGATCTGAAACGAGAATTTTGAAACTGAATTTTGGGTCGGATTGGTAATTTGATTCCCCTGATTTGCGATGGGGAATCCCGAAACCCTGGCCTCCGACGAGTTTCCGACCAGAGAAACTGGAACTTCGGGACAATTGAACTGTATTTGAATCGTTGCCGGAAAATAGAGTCGGTGAGGCGTTGAGCAGATCGGAGATGGGAGAAATGATATGGTTGGCCTGAGCTGCGGTGGCCAAAAGTAGACGCGATGAGGAAATTAGGGTAGAAACTGGAAACTGATTTAAAATTGGGCTACCACTTTATTATTTTGGGCCCATTTTTTCAATTATTGATTTCAAATGGATATAATTTTCTCAATATAAATTGCATAAACCAATTATGTGTTCACACATCATTTGATGTGGTCGGAGAAACATGAATTGTCATATACTTTTATTTAATATAATAAACTAGTACTTACTAAAAGGATTTCATTACCTTAATTAAAACTGTTTAAATATAATTTCAACTAATTAATAATTACTAATTCTAATAAACAATGCTAATTATTGTTTCTTTATTATTCAAATATTTTATTTAGTTGACCTTTCATCTTTTGTTGCTCTTCTCAATTACTTAGGTTAAGTTTATTTCTACACTTTTTTAAAGAAAAATTTTATATTCTAAAGTAGACAGATAAAAAGCATCAACCTTGATCAGTTGCAACTTCTCATATCTAACTTAAAAACTTTCAACTTTTCCAATCTATCAGAATCGTTATCATCATCATTGAACCTAATTCCTCAATCGTTCTCTGTCGAAATTCAATATATCATAAATAACTTTTTCAACATAAACCCAAGGTTGACGTCGTTCTCCGCCGAAACTCTCTGACCGTAACAACTACGGCCTCATCTCTGATCTCCAACCACTGCCACACGCTCAATTCCATGCTTACACCAATTCTTCATCGCCGATTATTATTATTTCAACGAGTTAGGTTTTGTTGAATAGCTGATTTTCTATCACAAGGTTCTATTTCTATTTTTATTTATGTTTTCTGAATTCAGTGATTATTATTATTATAGATTTGTAAGACATTGAAATTTTGTTATTGATTGTGAATTAAACAGAGAACAAGTTTCTTTTAGAGACGATGAGTACCATGTTTGAGTGATATGAACGCCAATATTGTGAGCTTTCTGTTAATCTATCGAAAATTTGCTACAACTCTTCTTTCTCTCTCTCTCTCTCTCTCTCTCTCTCTGCATAAACAAAACATCTTTATAAAATCCACCGTCAGCACATTCAACCATTGTCTTCCATCTCTCGTCTTAAGTGTTTTCCTTCTTCCCCTACTTTATTTTCTTTTTGCTTTTGTTTCTCCTTTCACTATGAGTTGAAATTATCTATAATAATAATTGTTAGCGGATGAAGGTATCAAAGTGAAATTTCATTAAAAATAAGTATAAAAAATAAAAAAGAAAATGAATTTAGGGTTTAGAGTTTTATTCGCTTACATGACTAAGAACTGGGCGACTTAGATTGTTCCTTTGTTCAAGCACTAAACATTTATTTGATTTTTTTATTTTTTGGGCTTTATATACTTTATAGAAAAATCTAAAATATATTTGGTTTAGTTTTATATTATCTTATTTTATGTTTAGTTCAATCACTGGATTTATTTAATTTTGCTTATGAACTCGATGAAGTTGTTAATTTAAATTTATGAATTGATTGTGTAATATTTACGATTGTATATGTGTTGAAGAGAATTGGAGATTTTTTTTTAGCAATAACCATGTTTTGAAAAAAAATACACAAATAACCATGTTTTGAAAAAAATTACGCAAATAATCATGTTTCAGAATACACTTAAACAGAGGAGCCAACTCACATGGTGCATGCTCTTACTTATTGGCCTTAGGCGTCATCTCACTTGGTGCACACACTTACTTTATGCCATGTGAGATGACGCATACACTATAATGTGGATAAGAGGCGCACCTGAGATGGCTCCTACATGCAAGTGTATTTTCTATAAATAAAACATCTATTTCTCCATCATTCTTCACACTTTCTCACATTCTCTTCTCATTTTCTCTCTGTTTTTGCATCATGACATCTCCCGTGATTTTCACCAGAGATGGGTATGTGTAGCGGTAGAAATGTGCAAGACTAAGCCATTGGATTGACTAGACTTTATATAAATCAAAATAAAAATCGCCACCGCGCTTTATTGTTTCCAAAGGAATGGGAAAAGAGCGAATAACCCAAAAGGAGGGGGAAAGATTCGAGGTAAGGGGGTTGCTATGCAAAGGGAAGGTATTAGCATCCTAAACATCTCTGGTACTCCGCAGGAACCTCTTTGAAAAAATCTGTATATTTTGGCTATAAAAATGTGTTGTATATAAAATGGATGGTGGAGGTGAGAAAAGAAATATTTTTATGATTTTTGCACCCGCCGCGGTTGCGAACCTTTAGTGCCTACGTACCATCTTTCGTGCAATAGGGGATCAGGGTACACGTAGTTCCTCTTTTAAAAAATTGAAACACAAGTGTGTTGGTTGATTTTATGAGATAAGACATCATCGCAATTGTCCGTGTCAAAAACATACTTACTACCCACAATCATGAGAAAGGAGAATTTGCATCATCTCAAAGTGGAGGATACGGCTTGGATTTTAAAATCAGCAATGCTTCACTCAACACCCAAGTGGAAAATATCTCACTTCACTATATATTGTAGAAGTATAGTTGTTTGCATCACTACAAGGATTGACAAGAGTCTAATCTTTTGAGAAAAGTTTAAAGATAAAAGCCAAAGTGGCAAAATGGTTTGAAATGAGATTGATTGACTTTAGTCTTCTCACAAAAAAAGGTCAAGGTATTATTAAATTGATTGAAATTTATTTATGAAAATGTTTCGAAGATGCATGGACCTAAGTCCAAGTTTATTATGAAAATGTTTCAAGCTTCAAAACAAGAAGAGTTTTTTTTTAAAGGAGGGAGAAGATTTTTGAAATTAAAGAAGATGAGAGGAGAATAAGAGGTTATCCTAAAGCATAAGGTAAAAGTTAGGGATAAGAACCATCTAACCAACAAGAAGCCAATACTTGACATTATGAGTCAATATAGAATTCTCATTCTTCGGATTGAAACCAAGCAAGCAAAGATACTAGACCTCTTGAGAGAACCAAACTTCAAGTGTTTTAAGTCTTTGCAAAAATTGGGCAGAGTAACGGCTGTATACGGGTGAATTCCAGATTACAAACAAAGATCGTAATCTCAATAACCTGCACACAAAACAAACAAACAACCCAATGTCTTGAGGTAAACCTCAAGAACTCCAGACAAAATATCAAATAAAGTCACAAAATCTCCAAGATAAGCCAAGGTCTCTAATCCTAAGTCCAAGAAGTCCATCACTCCATAATGCAAAGGATATTAACCATGTAGTCCAAGTATCATTAATTATTTTTATGGTTCAAATTGATTATTAGGTGTCTTTAAAAAGAAAGAAAAGCTCAAGTGAGCAAAATAAAAATGACATAAAAGTAAATGCTCAAGTGAGCAAAAGATGAAAATAGCATGAAATGTAGAATGCTAAAAGTAAATGGTACATAAAGCATGAAAATAAAAGCGTAAAGTAAAGTTAATTGTTAGTAATTAGTGGTTAGTTGGATGACCATCTTGAAACTTGCATTTGGAACTCATTAGAGGATTGGTAGAACCAAAGCCTCCACACAACAAGTTGCATTTGCTTTTTGTCAAGTATATCATCCATTTTGGAATTCTCACAAGGCAACATGTAATGATCAATGATGTTTAAGTGATCCGCGTTGACCAAAGGTGTTATAGATCCATTAGAGGATTGGTAGAACCAAAGCCTCCACACAATGAATATCAAGGTTATTGGATCAAAGAGATCAAATTAACATACTTGGGCTTGCAATCATAAGTTTGGGCCACGAATGATCATTTATTCGAATCGGGACAAAATTTAGCGCTATGTTAAGCAATCGTAAGTGGACTTATGTAGAAGTCACACCTATTTTGAGGTCGGTCAATAGAAATCTATGTACTTCATGTTTGGATAAATGATATAGAGATCACCATCCCTTAACATGTAGCACAATTAAAAAAGAAAGGGATAAGATGAAGAGGGAGGGGAATGATAAGCTAATTTGGATCACCATTTCAAAATTCTTTCATCTTTAAATTCAACCACTCCTCTAGATGGATTAAAGCACTAAACATATCATTAATCCAAAGCACCAAAAATGAATTAAATAATTCACTCTTAGGTAGATTTGAATTGATGAACATTTATCCAACTTCATCTACATCACAAAGTCCATTGAGTTTAAAGATAAGTTGGACATTTAAAATTGCAATCCAAACCAACAATCAAAAGGAGTGAGTAGAAAAAGCATTTTGGGTTAAAGCTGCCCCAAAACAAGGCAAAAAAGTGCATTATGTCCCTGTGTAAATCGATTGCACTATTGTGTAAATCGATTTACACAGTACAGTTTTCTAAAAATTATGCAAAATTGCTTCTGTACAATCGATTGCACTACAGTGCAAATCGATTGCACACAGTTACAGTAGCAAAAACAACATTTTAAAAGGGCAATTTCTTGTTTAAACTTTCTATCAAACACCTTATGATCATGGATCCACTTGAGCACGAAAATTCCATCAAATTATGAGAAAATAACACCATTGAAATCACAAAATAATGCTCAAAGAATCAATCTCAAAGATCACCAAGAGATCACATTGTGAAAGATG